TATTCAAAGTTCATTATACAAACTTAAATATATTCTGTTTCTGAGCTTAACCAATCGCGTCCTTGTATTGTACCTTGAATTATTGCAGATATGTTACTACAGTTTGCAATAAAGACGTCAATGTGTTGAAGTGATTTATTCGAAACTAAGACCGTAAACCTGTTCAATTATGAGAATGTATGAGACATGACACAATACGTTTGAAACTTTCATATAACTTATACATTAATATTTGATTTACTGAATTATTTGACAGCCTCCTGTCGCAAGAACGACTGCTGATAGAACAGAGATTGCACCTATGTTTACGCACACAATCGTCTATTATTGTAATCCTGCACAGATGGTTGGTTGCCGTTGAGACTAGCCGCTGTGACCGAAATTCAGTCTGGTGTACATTCCTTAAATAAACTGCTGTGTAATTTCAAGTTTAGAGGTCCAGTACTTTTTTTTAATGTAAATTGTAACAAAATGTGAATGATTGTAACCTGTTGTCAATAATTATTAATAATTTCTTTATCATCTTCATCTGGCAGATATCGTACTAACTCGCAGGTATGTAGTTATAATGCTAAATTATGCTAGAAAATAAAGCCACAAAGCTGTAATTGGCTGTACATACATAGTTGAGAGCTAAAAATATGAAAGCTAATATATTGTAAACTTGATAGCTATAAAATTATATAAATCTAGACATATTTGCTGCCATGTGCTCTATTGTGTTTACTACAAAAATGGAGCAGTCTTTAAGAGTTTTCTCCAGCATTCAAACTACTTTCACCAAAATAGCCTTTACAATGTCTTCGGGAAAATATGAAAAGACAATTGTCAGTAAAATTTTTTTGTAAGATAAGAAATCTTACAAAACAATTTTACTGACCATTTTACAATGGTATACCGTGCGGTGAATGTCTCTCTCTGCTTCAAAACTCGATCCAAATGAGATATGCCCCGCAGTGGGATCTTTAACTTAGATTATTACGCCATATACCTTTTCTCTTTCTTGAATCAGTTCCAAACTCGAGTATGAGTTGAGTACCAAACATGGTATAAAATACATTGGTTGTTATTTTAAGGGCTAGCATAGTATTTTTTTTTATCAGCAGAGAAATGTAATCTAGCACCAGAAATGGATAATTGGTCAGCAAACCATGGCTAGCAAACATAATTAAATCAATCGGCAATTTTTGACATACTGGATGGATGTAACTTTTTTAGTACAGCATTTTAATTATATAAGCTGCTGCTATAATGAGTGACTCATGTTTAAAATTTTTGATAAGCAGTTAGAGCTTAAGCAACTAATCTAATTTTGTGCCCCCCCCCCCCCCTTTCCCACCACCGGAAGTGCGTATTTTTTATATTAAATGTAAAAGAATAAAAAAATTATTGAGTGATATCTGAGAAAAAGCGCCTTGACAGGGAGGGATAGGGGTGTCCCCCTCCGCCGAAGAAGTACCAAAGTGTATTCGACTGAGTTTATTAGGCAAACTCATATTATTGTAAGTTGCCTGTTTATGATTAACTTACTGAACATTATCAAGATTCTTTGCGAAACAAGATTTGCTGAATGTTTTTTTTTTAATTTCAAATAGAATCTTTGAATGCTAACCAAATGATTTAAATGCTATTTTTTATGGCTAACCAAATTTTATTACGGCTTAACATTTAATTACTTCTCAAATACATTTAGTCAGTTTTTATAGATTTTTTGTGATAACTTCTTTAGCATCGTTGTGATTTTGAAACCGGATGAAACGAGAAAGCGATACCTACTAAAAGAATACCTACTAAGAGACAAACGAATACATGTATAGGATTTAGCCTGCGAGGGAATGAGATAGAATACAGTGAGTAATTGACAGTAGTCTAATGGCAAGGTGCGGACCGCGAACTCAAATGGTTGTGGGTTCGAATCTGCCATTTTTTTTATCTTACCTATAGTGGTTAAAGGGAATTTTAGTAATGTTAATAGCATTGCTAGTATTTTTTTAACTTTCCGCTAAGAAAATCAAGGATTTTCAAAAAATCTGGTAATTATTGGTTTCACCTCAGTTTTCAAAAATCGAGTTTTCATCATATTTCGACGTTTTCGTGTGCATATACGTGTGCGTTTGCATGTGCGTTACGTGTGCGTGTGCGTGTGCTTGTGCAGATACGTGTGCGTGTGCGTGTGCGTGTGCGCGTGTTTGTGTGTATATGTGTGTAAAACTCTCATACATTTTGACGTCGTAACGATCAAGTTTCCGGTAACGGCCTTACCGTAGCAAGAAGCAGTATTATTGTGTTCTCATTTACCTCCAAAATAAATTCAAAAAGTCATCCCAATTAAGTAAAAGTGATTCGTTCTTATAGAAAACATATTTAAATGCACTTATAACTAATAATCTTAATAAAAACAGAAAAAACAAATAAATGTACAAGGTGTGTGAACTATATTGTTAGGTTAGATCAAGTGACAAGTGTTATACGACCATAGACAAGTAAACGCAGTGAAGGGTCTACCAACATATTATTCTATCAATCTCTACTGACAACCTAGGAATTAGGCTGCGTTCAACGTTTATTACAAAGAGTATATAATCACTATATTTAAGAGACGAGACTTTCTTGTGTATACATAAGTTCCATTTTACACAAATCAACAATGGATAACATAGAAATTTTCCTTGAACGAATGAAAATTGAAATGGCAAAACAAATAGACGATATAATTTCGAAAATAGACGAAAAGTTGGCTCCTCTCACGTGCGAAGTCGAAGAATTAAGGTTGGAAAATCAGGAACTGAAAGAGAAAATAAGATTAATGGAACGAAGCAGAAGAAACAATAACATTATTTTATATGGACTCAAAGAAACAGAACAAACCGTGCTGGAACTAATGGAATTAACCGTCAAAAAAATAGGTACAGATTTAAAAATTTCCCTTGAGAACAAAGATATTAACGAGATACGCCGAATTGGCAAAAAAGTTAATAGCAATGAAAGGGAAAGGCCAGTACTTATGTCATTAGTAAATGCTTAGAAAAAAGAAGAAATAATGAGAAACAAGAAGAAATTTAAAAATGTATATGTTTCTGACGACTATCACAAAGGAGTTCAAGAAAAAAAGAAAGAATTAAGAGGAAAACTGATAGAAAAAAGGAAAAAGGGAAACTTTGCGGTAATAGATTATGATAAACTAATCATCAAAGAAAAGACACAAAGCAACGAGAAGCGTAAACGGGATTTATCGACATCACCTGCAAATACACAACAGCCTCGAAAACAGTACGCCTCATCCAAAACGAATAGGGCAAATGACATAATGAGAGGAAGCAGTAGTTCCCTTTCCTGCCCTTCTAAACCTAATGAACACAAACAATGACATAAAAACATCAGTCACCGGAACAAGACAACAATTAAAGTAAAACTAAATAAAAGAAACAATGAAATATTCCCCAAGCCGACTGGTCCTTGTGGGGAATTAGACCACCACCCTCCATTGAAGAATTCCTAGAGTAATAGTAAAATTTGTAATAAAATTGGTAATAAAAATAAAAATGTTAGAAATAAAAAGAAACAATTTGAAAACTCCACTTTGAAAATAGGTACATTTAATGTAAGATCCCTTTCATCAATTGAACGAAAATTAAATTATGTTAATATACCAATCCATTTATACCAGTCCACGATTTCATAAATTAAAAGCACAAATGGGTCGTCTCAACCGAGGTAGGACTACGCTGTCAGCGTAAAATAGCAGCTTAATTCTGCTGTGTTTCGTATGGTGAGTGTAGATAACCGTAGACCCTTTTTACTGGGAAAGAGGCATTCCATCTTAGTCCTCACGGCCGACAACGTTGCTAAAAAATTTAAATAAATCATTTGCCGTGAAATATTTTTATTTTACATTTCATTTCATTTGAAGGTTGCACTTCTACCACGTTTGAACTGCGCACATGTTTTTTTTTTCTATATCAGAGGGGAAAAAGAGCATGCGGTTCACCTGAATAACTGCAACACCGGCCTTTAAAAAAAAGAGAAGGCTCTTTTCTTGAAAGTCCCTGAGTAAGTAACTATGTATGTAAGCAAGCATATAAAACAATAACTTAACGTGGTTTTAGTTTTAGGGTGCGTTGTAAAAGTCGAGGATAAATGGTTAACTGCCATTTTATTTAATATTGTGGTTTTAAGAGTAACTACTATTACTTCTACCTTTTTTGTATGTGGTATAGCCAAGCTGCAGCTATATGAATGTAATAAATAAAATGATTGAATTATTCTAATGATATAAGTACGAGTGTACCTATTTCATTAGAATAATATATAAGGTAAGATAAAACCAAAGTTAGCTTGCCATATTCAAAATCAAACCATTTAGTCAACTCACGCCAATACAGCAGCTGGTCGGCTCATTCATCTATTATCTTTGGCTTCACTCACACTGGCGCAGAATCGGAAGGACGCGACGCGTCCTATTTTTCCACCTACAGCATATTCATCTCTATTGTTCTATTATTTAAGTACAAATTTCTGCTATGTAAATATGGAAGCGCGCGCCGACGCGCGTTGACGCGGGCATTCGCGCTTCGACGCTCAGCTGGAGTCGAGTGGATTCGCGAGTCGCCGCGCGTACTCGGGCGCAGTGACGCGCACAGAACACTAATACCCTTAGGCGGGAAGAATGTCAACTTCAAACAAAGAAAATGGCACACATAATGCACGCCATCTCTGTCGTGCCCCCTAAAACTTTTTGCGCGGGAATTTTGACGTGATTTTTTTTTAGTTGTCGTCTTGGTTGTTTCGTTTCAAAAATGGCTTAAGAATGTAAAATACCATATAGATAGATATAGCTTGTAGTTTTTCGTTTCAATGATATATATTGCTAAATTAAAACGAAAACAAAAGCACAAAGTTATTTGTAAATTATGGTACTTTACATTCATAAACCACTTTTGAAACGATTAGCAATCATTTTAATATAAAAAAGGAACTATTTTTCAAATAAAAGTGGTTTTTGAAATACATCATTTTTATTTACATTACATACTTGTCTACATTGGTACATAGAAAAACCGTTGGTACATTGATGGACGTAAGTGACGGAGTAATTAACTAATTTTTAACATGGCATATGTAACATGACATTTAAGCAAAATGGAAAGTAAAGGTACATTGGTTTTATATAAAAAAGATTAGACAATCTAATATAAACACTTTTTTCTAACAAGAAAACATTATTTACCTTCACATTCTACAAACAAGGCAATAGCTTTGCAATATTATGTCTAAACTCCAATAACCTGATTATATTATAGATGCCACCAATAATATTACATTTGTAGAAATTATTTTCGTTATGTTATTGTTATTGACTGCATTAAAAACTAATAAGTCAACATTTTCATGTCATTAATTAGCACTACCTGCTGCAAATCCATCCACGAAAAACAAAAAGGATAAAGATATGTTGATAAAAATGAAATATCATCTGAGAAAAATTAACAGGCTTCAAAAAACTGTAAAGCATCTAAAGAATGAAGCATTTCTCAAAGTATTGAGCAAAAATGATTCCGTAAATGAAATATTAAAATGTAAAATATCCCCCTCTTTTGCAAGCTCTTCAAAGAAAAACTGATATCCTGCAGAATAAATAAGATGTTACATGGATATATACGTAATTAACTAATTTTTAACTTTATGCATGTAAACAGTTCTGAACAGCTCTTAACTAAATATCGATTTAATAGTTAAGTAGTTATTATTATTTTTCAATAATACAGGTAGATGTCTAAGTGTCACAGCATTTACTTGCTAAATTCTATAAAAAATACAAATGTATGTGTTATCCATATCCCACAGTAAACTTAAAAGTTAGTTGCATAGCAATACGATTGTTTGTAGGGTGACTAATAAACTATCCGACATTAAACGATAAAAAGACTGTAAGGTATGATTCGCACCAGTAAAGTGATAGTTTCGAAAATACTATATTCGAAATCCAAAAGTGGCTCTATATGGCAAATATTTAAAAAAAAAACTTAAATTTAAATCCTACCTGCCTCGCGGAAGCAAGGAATATCTGACCCACTCCGACTAAAACTCTCAGATGTTTCATCTTCACCACTTATCGGCAGGACTACGGGTACACTTTTACACACATCCGTAGCCTCATCAGCGCTAGTCACTCCTTGGCAGCCTCTCTCGAGAGAGGACAAATCCTCCCTCTCCTTTTATCTCCTTATATAATGTCACCACTGAAGTGATTATGACTGTACATACAGAAAAAGTAGTTCCATGTAATATCTTATTTATTCTGCAGGATATCAATTTTTCTTTTAAGAGCAGATGCTGAGTACTCTTCTGCAAATTGCCGATTTTTCAAAATACAAAATCTCTTCATACAAATGTGAAATACGCTATTAAATAAGTAATCTATATTCATATCTTTATGTTCTGGACATTCATCGAGAAACTCCCAATTTATTGAGTTTTTGAACAAAACTTTAATTGTCCCTTTTAATTTTTTTTTTATATGCTTCTGCCTCTAAAAAATCATAAATCATCGTAGCACTACTTTCAATACAGTTAATGAGGTTTTTAGAGGCGTATTTATTTTTTTACAAATTTCACATTTGTTGAGATTATTTTTTACTATAAACCCACAGACATAGGCACATGCTTGTATTTCGCCACTGCTTTCTTCCAAGCTACATTCAAATGTAGAATTTACACTTTCTTCTAACTCATCGGTTAAAATTGTGGCATAAGCAGTGTGTGTCTGTGGGTAGAGACAATAAAGTTTTAAAATTTGTCAATATAACTTGATTTTGGTCTTCTTCACAATTTCCTGTCTTAATAAAAGATAAGTTGATAAGGACAGCCGTTTTAAGACCCGCAACAAACTGCCCAGCAGTGGGATTTGAATTGCAGCCGCAATTGGCCCAAATGCATCCAAAAAGATTTTCTAACGGGTCCTGCTGGAGCCTTCTTGTTTCCAAACTTTTTATTGATTTATGTTTAGAACTGAGATTTCTCCAAATTCGTTCTATTCCATTGATGGACCATATCCAACCTTCTTGGGATGGAGGAGCTCGTTTGCATCCCAAAAACGTCATTTCTTTAAAAAAAATCTTCATTAAAGTGAAATGTGTGAGATGTGGTGTATTATTTGTCATGTTTGTCGAATATGGTTTCCCCCTTCTTAGGTCTGGTGTGCATGCGTTGACACAATCAAACAGCTTGTCCATATTTGCAATAACATTAGCTGTAGTGACAGCCTCTGAAGAGAGTTCCCCTGTAAACAACACATAATTTAAGATCTTACTATTAGGATTAAAGAAACATGATTTAAAGTATGTTACAAGACAACTCAAAAATAATATCACATATCAGTATCACACAATAAACAATAATTTGTACTTGGGAGAGCCTAGTTCCTTTTTAAGTTAATAATTATTTTAATGGGTGGACACATTATGTTTAAATATTATACTTTAAATTATAAATTTAATTTACCTTGTGAAATTTTAGCATACATTCCTGCAGCAACTGAGTGGCTGAACACTTGTGCAGCTAGCTTCACCTTCATCTTCTGCTTCGTATTTGGATTTAAATGTTCTTGTTTTAAGCAAGGTGCAAACACAAAATTGGGATTGGTGTTATCTGTTTCATAAAACTCCTTTATATGGCTCCATTTAGCAACACCTGTAAAAAAAATTTGTGTAAATATCCTGTAAATTGGAAATATGTATAATATTATGATTGTAATAAAACAAAATATCTTACCAAATCCAATTTGATCATTTGATGTTATATTTGTTGGACATTTAACGTCATATTTTAAAAACATATTTCTAAAGCATTTGAGCAAATGCGGAGTATCAAAAATGGTAACCACTTCTCGATTATTTAGCAGAATATATGGCTGTTCTACAGATGCTCCCAAGATACTTAATAAAGCTCTCTTATTCACACCATCCATATCACACACTGTAGCTGAAATATTAATTCCAGCATCAAAACAATGTTGCAGGACCTAGAATGATAAAAGGGTAAATTAATATGGTAAAAAAGTACTACTACATATATTGACATAATACCAAATAAAAGACCATAATGCTCACCTCCTTAGAATAATAATAAGCAATTGGTTGTTTCAGCTTTTTACGGATTCCGCCAATCATGAACACGAGGGCATGTGTTGCCATTTGTGGTGAACTGCCCTGCAATGCATGGTCTTGATAACCCTCAATTATGTCCTGCTTTTTGTTGTAAAACAAATTCTTTTTTATTGACATCTCATCAAACATAAGGATATACTCATTGTCTGAGGGAGTCTGTTGCTTTATTGTTTTTTTTTTCAAAACATTAAAAATTTGGTCATTAATACCAACTTTCATGTGAAACTTGCTTAATAACGCTTTTAATGAACTAGGTGTTGGCAGGCAAATCATCCTTCTTAATAATTTATAACACCTAGGTGACCTTTTATACAGTCTTAGTGCTATTATTTTGGAGTCCATGTTCCATCTTCGACCTTATGATTTTTTTTTTATAGTTTTGCAATTCTCCTTTCAAAAATAATGCAAAAGAGGGGGATATTTTACATTTTAATATTTCATTTACGGAATCATTTTTGCTCAATACTTTGAGAAATGCTTCATTCTTTAGATGCTTTACAGTTTTTTGAAGCCTGTTAATTTTTCTCAGATGATATTTCATTTTTATCAACATATCTTTATCCTATTTGTTTTTCGTGGATGGATTTGCAGCAGCAACAGGGTTGATATTCTCAGTTACTTGAGGAATATCACTAGTTATGTCAGGAATGGTTTTATAATTTACATTCTCACAAGGGTTGTATAAATTTTGACGGACCCGCAACAGGCTCAAATACATTTGAAACAGTTATAGTCTTCTGAATATTTTCAGACAGTGGTTGTTTATTAGTTGATGGACCTGCAATATGTTGAATGACATTCCTTTGTTCCAAATTAAGGTCAGCTAATGTGATCTGAAAATTAGAGATTATCAAATCATTATTTATATCATGTATCCCAGCATTGGTCAACCAATCTCTAAATTTCAAACAGCCTTATAAATTTATAAACATTAAATACAACTTGTTTTTTTTTAATGAATGTTGCTTTAACACCATTACCACCACCATCCTAGTTTTAAGACACTATTTTAACAATTTCTTTTATTTGTAAATATATTCTGTAAGTAACTAAATTATAATCATGTCATTTAAACAACATTGACAGCTCGCGGAGCAGTGGCTAGCATTGAGTTGCGGCACTAAAGGTCACAGGTTCGAATGCTGCACGGAATAAGTATTTGTAAGGGGGTCAATTTAAAATTGGTTGCAGATAAAGTCGTCCCTGAGCAAAAATATTTTCTTCTCGGTGATATTAATTAAATTGTTATAATGTTATTGAATTTGTCAAATATGGGGCGAATTACTAAGCTTATTCTCAAGAAAAATGAATTTTATTATTGATTTATCACCACTTTTATCAAGTAACAGAGTGGTCATTCTTGGTAACATAGTTGTTTTCCATACAAAAAAATTCTGTCCCATATGCAGTGCATCATGCGAAAATCATAATATCTTTTTATCAATTCAATGTAATTGTTATGTTTGAAAGCTAGTGTAATAAAGCAATCATAACACATTTAAAAACATACTTCATCCATATTAAATAAATTAATTGAAGCTTGTACGATTATTTTAAATTTTGTCCCAAGGTCTTCAAAATATTATAGCTACATTCTGTTACTATAGTAAACCGGATAAATACCAAGAGATGGCGCTATCCATTCTTTGGCAATTGTTTCATCATAAATATCTACTGTTCTATCCGTACGGTTTGCGGCGGTTGAGGCGCGGGTGCACGATTCATTTATCCGATGGCTGCGGTGTGAGGCTCGTGGTTTTATTCTGTGTGTACTCTGTTACCGGTGTTTTCGCGTAAGTATTCAGATATTTGCGTATAGTTTTATATTATTGAAGTAGCTCTAGTGTAAGATATATCGAATGTGCTTTTCTTTGTACATAATAAACTTTCATTTCTAAAAAAAAATGTCACTAAAGTTAAATTTACCATTCTGTTACTGCACAACTATGTTACTAGCTACTGGTAACAGAGTTGTAGAGAGGTAACAGAGTTGTTATTATTAAGCTGTTACAAGCCATCGTTGGCGTCTGTATATCCGTATCTCTGCTTCTATGTTAGTAGGAATCAATATTATATAATAGCTATCTAATAAATTACATTTGTTCTAGATAATACATAGTACTTCGCTATGGCTCTCACCGCTGCTGAAAAGCAGCGGCGCTATAAAGAAAAGTGCAAATAAAACCCTGAAGAGGTAGCGGAAACTAAGAAGAAGGATTTAGAGAGATATCATAAAAAGAAACGCTTAATAAAAGACATGACTCAACTCAGTATAGAAACTACAGATCTTGTATAGATGGATTGACAGAAGAAAAAATAGCGCTACACGTAGATTTCAGCGAAAATTACAATTGCAAGTTCCATGAAGTGATACAATCACACCACTTTCGTGATACTCGTAACCAGGTATCCTTACATACTGGCGTATTGTATAAGCGAAGCTTGGAAAATCGAAACATAGAGGTGAAGTCTTTTTGTACAGTATCAGGTAACCTCTCTCACGGCCCTTCGGCAATCTGGAGTCACCTTCATCCTATACTTTCCTCAATTCAAGACCAATCCCCTAAGATAAAAGTGATACACATATTTTCAGATGACCCGCTACTCAGTACCGCCAGAATCAAAACTTCTGCTTAATATGGACAAAACTTTTCTCAAAGTACAACCTCACCAAGCCTACATGGAATTTTTTCGAGTCGGGACACGGCAAAGGAGCAGCTGTTGGTGTTGGTGGCTTTCTAAAATGGACTGCTGACCAGCTTGTTGCTGTTGGGAAAGACATTCTGATAGCGTCTTCGTTCTATCAGTCTCTGAAAGATAGTAGTAGAGTTAAGGTCAATCTTGACCTGATTATGATATTGAAAGAATCTCGAATGAAATTCCAGCAGAAATTGTTCCTTTCTATGGTATAATGAAAGTACATCAAGTGTACTACTAGTGTATTACAGAAGAAGTGGGAGCGCTGAAATATCGAGAGTTGAGCTGTTTCTGCTAGCTTGGTTTCTCCTCATGAATGAATCCAAAAAACGATTGTCCACTAAAGGATACAGTCGAAGAATCAAAGGAGTAATTCTACTAATCTAACGGATATAAGTAATTTGATTGAACAGAAAAGGAAATCTTTTTACAATGTAATTTACAGTTCGAGTTCGGAATCAGATGATGATAATCCTTTGCTACGATTAAAAGATAAGGCATCAGATCAACCCTGCTTGTCTAAAGAAAAAAATGATGAGAATCACTTGATTCATAAAGAAAATATTCATCCAAGTAAAATCAAAGAAGGAGTCTAGGTCTTAGTTAAAGTTTACAATTCTGAAAGTAAGTGTTTATCTAGGCAAAGCATTAAGCGAAGTAGACGATGATGGTGAAGTAAAAATTGTCTTTTTAAATTCTGTTGACGATACTAGAAAAACATACAAATTAGTTTAAAATGATATATCATATGAACAATATGAGAGTTTCATAAGAGTTGTTTCAGTACCTAAAAAGTAAATAAAGGCAAAAGGGTATATTACCAGTTCCATACTCCACTAGAGATATTTGAAAAATAAGTTATCAGCTTAGGTTTAATTTGATCTCAATAAGATTTTTTAGCTTTTTCCCCTTAAGTTTTATAATCTAGTTAAGTTTCTAAACTTCTTAAAACAATTCATAGCCAAAAATATTGTTTTTTGTGATAGTAGTTCATAAATTTGTTGCAAATAGTACAACTATGTTATTCTTCCTACAACTTTGTTACTTTTGTGTCGCTAAATATATAAGAGTAATGTCTCGAATTTTATGAAAAGCTGACACCTGACTCTATGCATTGTTTATTAATTATTTAATATTCTCATTTATACACAACATCATCATTATATTTTAATAATTTAATTCAATTTACATAGTTTATAGTGAAAATTTGATCATTAAAACAAAGGAAGTAACAGAGTATATTTAACTTCCATTACTGTTCCTACTTAAGAAGAACTATTATGTAATTTTGCATGTTGAACATGAGAGTAAAGACTTAATTAATGTTCATAACAAAGAATGTTTCTAAAAATAATTGTTTGTTGTTTAAATATGAATAAATATATGATGGTAACAGAGTTGTAATTTTTTTTACCCTGCACTAGTAAATTCCTTGAAAATCTAAAAATAGTGGCAAGACATCGCGCCCAACCACAATATTGCATTTAACAATGATATCTACATAGCATAAATACCTATACAACTAAGTTAAACAGAATTTTATTTTCTTTTGTTTTCGAAATTTACAGTCACATTTTCTGCCACCAATTTTAAAATGACCCAAGGCCTATAAATAATTGTGCCGGGGGTTGTTTGTCCTCATCCAATTTATGTTTGTTAACTGCCTCCACAAAGAGGAGAAAATCCTAGTATGGATAAGGTTTTTTTTTTTAAATAAAAGATAACTTTTTTTTAAAGTTTATATCTTTTGTTTTTTAATGGTTGAGAAGTAAAGGTAGGTTACGTCGCATACCCTTATAAATCACCACTCAATCTGCTACCACCGTTTGTAACTAGATAATATTTTCACTGTAGTATGAGAAAAGCCACACAAAAGTAAAAAATGTAGATAGTAACAAAAGAAAGATTAACTAACCTTATCACATTCCTCATCAGGTACTGCAGATTTGACTAGCCTCTTTCCAAAATTATCAATGAATGATGATTTCTTAAAATGTTTAGTACACAACATTAAATGCCTAGAATGAAGATTGTTTTGAAATTCTGGTGACCACCAAGATTCATGAGGAAAACAGTACTTCGCCCATAATTCACATCTGAAAAAATACAATTAGATAGTAATATACTACTGAGGTGCTAAAAACGTGCTTGGAAGAAGAGTGCAATACAAGAAGATTGTTACTTTCAAACAATGTGATTGTATTGTATACATATATAAATATCATTCCACAAGTTATTTCTATGTGTACCAATACATCTAGAACTTTTTATTATGTTATGATTTCTGTGTGATAAACCTCATGCTGTTCTGCATAATTTCTCTAATTTTCAGATTTATTTGCACACGTTTTTAAATCGCTTAATATGTATCTTAGGTTTTATTAGCCGATGCGGCCCATAATAATTTTTATTTCTGCTACTTTATTAATTCAGTGGTTCAAATTTAAACATTTTAAAACTGTTTTAATCAGTAATCAAAAAGCTATTTAGCATACGTACCGTACGCTATTTGTTCTCCCAGGCTTAGGAAAACGATGCAAGGTGATGTTACGATCATGAGCAGGAGAACATCCACACTTGTAACATTTCCTTTCGTTTTCTTTCATGA